ACACAACAAAACCCTCCGTGAAATCGCCCCTACAAATATAAGCCCCCCGAGGGGCTTGTACTTGGAAAATTGCCCTCAAATACAAAGTATAACAAAGCAAAAACGGTAAATTCCCTTCCAACTATAAGCTAGCCAAATCGATTTTGAAACGCAAACTTCCCTCCGTACATAAGCCCCTCCAAAAATAAGCCCCTCAAAAAGGGCCTTTGAAAAATATAAGCCCCGGGACTTATTTTCGGAATTTTACGGTACCTCTCTTACATGTTTCAGTGGGATGAGGATATTTTGAACTGTTGTACTTTTAGAAAACTAGTAGTCATATGTGCTGTACAATGGGTTAGAGCTCCACTGTCATTGGCGGTTTATCATGGCAGACCTTGAAAACAACTGGCCAATTAACTCGGAGAAAAAGAATATGTGAGCTCATTAACGTTTTTGCCACCCAGCAATATCGCAGGTTTCGATTGCTGCTATTTCCATTGTTATTGATTGCAAAGAGCTAAGACTAGTACAATCTACTCAAATTAACCAGCTCTTTCAACTTTTGAACCTAATTTGTATATACGGCCACGTCAGCAAGGATTCACCAATAGTAATGATGAAAGTTCATACGTTTTAGAGTTCAGCGTTCACTGAATGTTAACTAAATAATTTTCGTGACACTCCCCAATGCATTAGTCTGTTCCTTTTCAAAATCATTTGCTCTTTACCTAATAACTCCAGGATGCACCATGTGTTGTGGTTTTGACCTAAGCGTAGACAGTGGGAACAAGGTATAAGAAGGGCAAAAAGCGATTTATTGTAAGAATTCAAACAGTCAAGAAGTTATAAATATTCTAATGAAAAGCTAGATAATGCCATCCAAGATCGTGCATGGAATAAACTGTCTGTGCGTTCCCCTCTTCAAAGGAATGAGGTGAAGAGAATGCCTCGACTTTGCAAGGTTGGTTTTATTATGATTATACCGGGTAATATCACAATAAATTAGGGAGACTAGGTAACTGCATTTGCAAGTTTTAACACAGTGCAGTAGATTTTTTAAGGTACTTTCTTATCGTTCCAAAGAGACAAAGTCTCTCAGCCACTTTTTAAGTTGTAAATAAAGTCTGTGCCAATCAATATTGAAAGATATTAAATGGGCCAAGAGTATATTTCACAGTACATTTGATCTCGGCTTACTTGGAAATTTGGATGAACACTCCGTTCACACGGAACTTTTCAATATTTCTGCTCTGTTAACACGAAACTTTGAACGGTTAGGCGTCTACATTTTCGCTTATTTTAGGTGGTCCCCTGTAGCGGAACACATATATGCACGAAATTTCAAACGGTGGAAAATTTGCCTGGTGCCGTGAGAGCAACGCCATAGTAGCAGTGTTAATGTAAAAACTGACACTGAACTTTGCAATTGTGGGCCAAGGTTCAAGCCCTCGCTTCACACCTTTGCCTTGAGCAAGTGACTTCACTACTGTTGCAATGAGGTTATCTCTGTGATGGACTACAGACTGTAGCATCCCATCCAGGGGGAAGTAGCGATATTTATACAATACTCGTCATAATACCTAATACCTTACACCTTCCCCAATGTTGATTCAAGTCGGTATTACTCATTTGCAGACAACGCGAGAGTCAACGATGGGAAGGAGGGAAGACCAAGTACGCACACAGGAAAGTTAGGCGATTCGGTTGAGAAGGTGGACATGAAAAATTATCCAGTTTCTTCTAGTGTTTCAACAAAATTTAAAGACTCTTTTATATACTTTATGCTACAGAAACCAGGTTTCGGCTGTATGGGCCTCAGTTGTATGCGCTTTTACCTTTTTATAGCAGTACTGTGGATGTGATCTCTAAAAACAATTTAACGTCGACTTAATGTAAGTATCACTTGGAAAATGTAATTCCAGAGTTTTAATTGGCTCAGCCATCATGGTATATGGAGTAGTTAAGTGTGACGTCACAAAATTTTGAATTTGTGGAATTATGGGATTGATCGTGAGATATTTACAAAGAATAAGATGAAAGCTGTTTTTTTTTTTAATTTCTGCTCTATTTTTTTACAGACAGCTTTACTAACTATATAGGTTAAAAGTAAACACAAGTGCCTACTTAACAAAAATACACACTTCTACATCATCTACACGCCCACCCCACACCCACTCCCACACACATTTCCCATATTCCAAATTCCCATAGACTTACAACCAATATACAAAATACACTATTCAGAGATAAAGTAGCCTCACATGGTGTTATGGTTCCATAAAAAATACTAATACATTACAGAAACGCGCCCATTCAAAAACGTCGATCGTGAAAATGCAAATAAGTGAAAAATGACGTTAATTTAGTGTCAATCAAGAAATCCCCTGGGTATATCCCTTTCCTGGTTATTGTTCCTGCTCAGACATCCGAAACATTTGCCTATTCTTCGATGAAGAATAGAACTTCACGCGACTAACAATAGCTCAGTCTGTTTAAAAACTGTCTAAATTTACTCCGAATTAGCATGTGACTTTTGCTGTTAAACGCTTCAAAATTGGAAAATCCTCCATGCTTGTTGTTGATTTTGCCGTAAATAATTCAATGCACTGACTTAAAATGAATTTCTACCTTTTACAAACTTCTTGGTGTTCGAATCGATCGATGAAATATGAGCGCAACCGATGCGTTAATAGTTTGTTTACATTTTGACACGGGTTTTGGATAATATTATAAACCTTAAAATTTACGGGCAAATTCGACGAGAAAGCACTCTCACTTACATTCTTCATTTAAGATATTGATTTTAGCAAAGTATAAGGCAAAATTAAGAGCGATACTTTCTTTAAGAACGCTATAACTACATATTTAACGGCCAAACCGAAACAGCGATCTAATCCGTCTCTTGAAAACAACTACAATACCGCTTCTGATAATAATATTCATAAACGCTACAAACATTTTTATTCAATCTTATCGAGTGATTTTCGTGAAGATGAGTTTTTAAGTGAAGAATACTTTGGTTTCTGATTAGCTTTAACTGTTTTGCCATCAAAAGATTCGCACGAGACTACCGAATTCGCGAGGGTTTTATGTTAGTGCACGAGGAAGAAAAATGCTTCTCTTTGCATAAACATTTTCTTCTTTGTAGCAATGACAAAGACATTCCAACACATAAAACAATGGTAACCTACTTCTATTGTTTCTGCATTGTCTCTTGAAAGTGTGAGAATAGTTAACTGCTATGAAGTTCATAAGAGACCGAAAACGACGGTAGTCTTTGAAACTTCGTTTTTGCTCGCAAAGCCTAATGGGTACCCCACTTTTCACGGGCGACGTTTTTCAATGGGCGCGTTTCTGTAATGAATTATAATTATTTTATATGATGATGATATATGCCGATGTTTATAGGAGTTATAGGAGTTATTGGAGTTTGAGATGATGTCCCTGTTGTCCAGTTGTTATCGACCAAAATTGTTCACTTTTTTGATTAAAGTGTTAAGAACTTATCCCATTTCTTGAAATGAAAGGAGCATTTATTTCTCTCTTTCGCTATCCGACGCTCCATTTCAAAAACTGCTTTCACAGTTAGGAACATTATCTCAAAACCCATAGGACTAATATGCAATTTCCAAACTAACGCTATTTGACTGAATAAAGAACCTGCATCTGTGAGGCAAACATATATATTGCGACTAATAACAATAAGATATAGAACTGCGACATATACACAAGAGAATTAATTACTAACACTTAGTGATGAGCTTAAAACAGCAGCCAGCAAAAAGCTGTTGATTATGCCGCTTATGAACTACAGTAGGCCTACAAGAAATTTGCATAACTGGAATATTTGAGGAGTCCCAAAAGACACGTCTACATGCCCGCCATGTCCGACCTAGTCCCTCGACGATCCAAATTGATTTGGATCGTAAAAGGTACGCTCTAAGCCAATTTTAGAATTTGCATGGTATCATCCGAGCATAACGTAAATGCTTATGGATACTTTCCATCCTACCCAACCGACCGGTCAGAAATCATTGAAACAAACCAAAAAAAGAAAAATATAGAACAACACTTTTCGCTTAAAACAAAGTTCTAACTGGGCTTAAGCGTTCCCTTTACTTTTCGACCGAAATTTTGTTTACTTCTCAGCGAAGTGGGAATGGATCCGAAACGAAATGTTTGGAAATGGAACGGTAGTTTCGATCTGACAGGAAGGAAAATCTCAAGGGTAAACCACTTTTTCCGGAAGATTTCTTGCCGGACCGAACCGTTCCATTTATCATTTACGAGTGTGCAAGTATGGTTATAGTCTAGACTCTTTACACCACCTCTTCCATAGTCTGATTATACCTCTTTTACTTATAGCATTTCAGTATGGGATTTTGCAAGTTATGAACCAGTTATAAGCATTTTTCTAAACTTGATAAGTTGCAGAAGAGAGCAGTTCGTTTTGGCTTTCTCAAGGAAGCCACGTCCATTTTAAGCCTTCTAGAGGCCTTAGATAATAAGTTTTGGAAGAACGTCACAAATTCTGCTGAGGGCCCTTTGGCAGATCTCCTTCCACCCAGTAAAAAAACTTAACCAAGGAATCGTGGTGACTCCTACGTACTCAAATTATATATATCCTCAAATTAGCACTGAACGTTTTAAACACTGTTTTATTAATACGTGTCTTTTTGATTTTATCTAATTGTCAGTTGTAATAAGGAATGTTTGTCTTTGGAATCAATAAAGACCTTATTTTTAATTATTTTATATTTCGACCGAATTCTTAAGGCAAGCACCCTGTAACTCACGGCCAATTTGCTTGAACAAACTGAATTTTGGTAAATGGACACTTTCTAATTATCCCAGGCGATCCAATAATTTCTCAAATTAAGTTTTCGTGACGTCATCACTTCTCTACTCTATCGGCGCATGTACCATGCTAGCTTTTCATTTATGGTCTGCGTTAACTCGTCGTTCAAGACTGGAAGCATGTTAGCAATTATTGTGAACTAAGTCACGAGTTACCTTTTTTACTGGCCTCCCAACCAGAACTGAGTTGTAGAAAGAGAATTGTTCGAACAGCGATGCTGCGAATTTACAACCCCGTAAAAACCAAAGTTATCTTCGCTGTTAAGCGCACCTTGTTTGCCATTGAATTCGCAAAGGTGGAAAGACGTATCTGTGTGCAAAGGCCAAACGCCCTTATTTTGCCAGAGGGGCACCGTACAATCAACACATTCATGCCCCCTGATGTTTATAAATGCGAACTGAAAACACTGACCATAGAAATTTGTCGGCAAGGTCAGTATGTTGCAGTTTGCAAGGGATGTCCGCATGTAATCTATGTACACAACTCCGTCGGTATCATAGCGACAGGTAGCTCGCCAGTGAGTGGACTGGGTCCTAAGCCATTCAAGGTAATTACGCCGGATCAGGTACGCATGCCAGTTTGGGTGATCGCCGCTGACTGCTTCAGTGTAGTCAGAAAAAAGAATATTCTAGAAATAAAAATTATTTTATCTCTTAGCTGAAATCACCTCTGTCTTTGACCTCGTAATCTCGGTTATATTAAATTCTATTAATTTAACATTCTTATATATTTATTTACATATTTAATGTAATGCTGTTATAACACCAACCAAGAATTGAGAAATGTTCAGAATTTGCATCAATGACCTGGTACAAATTCTGATACCATGAAGATCTCTCAAATCCTCTTTAAGGGGCATGGATCTGATGATACTGTTGTGTACCATTTTCTTGGTTGTTTTAAAGATTTCATTGTGAGTTACTTTTATGTTTGCGCTTGAAGTTTCACCCGTGTCTCGAGCTCGTTATGATTAGGTTTGTAGAGCAAGGTTAATGCGTATTTCTATCGACAGGTTTTTAAATTTTCTTACATTTTAAAGGGGGTTTTCAACATAAGTTTCGTTTATTAAATATGAGTGTCAGACCTTGAAGTGGGCACGTTTTGGGATTATAGTTGACCTTGATTGTTACCTACATCAGAGTTCTTGTGTTCTTTTTTGTTTTTGAAGGTAGGGCCTCTTGGGCTTAGTTGTCAAGCTGTCATTGCTTTTCCTGTACTTGACAAAGGTTTGCTTATTCCAATTTAATGATTAACAGTAAACTCCTTTGAGACATTAGAAAGTGCGTTCGTAACTGTCATGGTCAGCAAGCCCGAACGTACTCACATTTTAGTTTTTTAAGTTGCCAATATTTGGGGCAGTTGGTCGTTTAGCTGTAGAAGTTGATTTCATACAGAAGAAGAAAACATACGAGCCGCTGTGAAGAATAAAGGGCACCAACATGTAACAACACATCATGGTTTCCGTTGACCTGTCGACTTAATGTATTTTACAATTTACCTGTTTTTGGGACAAGCTGAACGACTGGATCAAGTTCCATGCAAACCCAGGTTCTGAATCAAAGTCGCAGAAAACTTGAAAAGATTGATTGCGGTCATCAATGACTGTATACAATCCAGACTTTCTTTCTCCTGCAGCTTTGTAGGCCTGGCAGCTTTTTCTTTTAAATTCACAGTGTCTACCCATAAAATTTGCTGGACAAGAACAATTGTACCGAACGGTCTTGGGCTCACATATTTCTGTGCATGTTCCTCCATTTTGACAAGGATTGTTTCTGCAACGGCCGTTGACTTCTGTAATTTCATCACAGGACGCAACGCAGTGTTTCTATGAAATTAAAAGAAAGTAACTGTGAGGTAGGCTCCGTTTATTGCGGCCCGCACTGGGCAGCTACCTATTTTTGTCTTGAAAGCATCTGAGATCTCTATTTGTTGTTTTACCAGTTCCTAGTCCCCGTCGCGTAACACCCAATCCAGCAAAGTTAAATGGAGGCCAAAATTTTTTATCTGAGAATTTTGTGAGCGATCTATGATTCTTTCTGAACACGCTTTAAAAGGAAATGGCGACAAACTTGTTAAAGAGTTTCTTAGCACTCCTGAATCTTCTTGGTTAGACATTCGTGACTTTTGTGCCGTGTGACGTTGGTATTCTAGAGTCGGACGCAAACGCGACGTTCAGTTTCATATTTTCCCTAATAAAGCAGCCGGTAAATTACTTATTTGCTTGTCATGTCAGTTGTAAAGACAGGTAGGACAGGCTGCTTGGGGTTCGTCTTTAGCAATGTTGGATAATTGTTCAAGATCTTGATCCCATTTCTCTACTTTCTTCGAAACATCCCATTTTTAAACCTTTCGCTAGCGATCACTGCTCCCATATGTCTTTCACCCCTTGTGGATATTTTAATCCCACGCTTCCCGAATATCACTTTGGCTTTCGCTTGAAACCTCTCCTTTACAATCAAGATGGTTTTACTTTCTTGAGGATAGTATCCATATTTTGGACCCACTGTGTAAAGTTGATCGCACCATGTTTTCATTTCAGTCAGTTGTCTCCCCGCTGAACTGTCATCCACACACCATGACTGCTTACACCTCTCATGATCAACTACCTCCCCGAGGTTATCAATAAGGGGTCTGATGCCCAAGGCATATAGGGCCATAGCATTTACGCCATCTTGGGTGCAGCCTTCATTTGAGAAAATATAGTCATGCTTTGTAGAGTCAGCTATCACCATCTTAACAGGCTTTTGGTACGTATGTGGTGAAGAGATACTGAAAGAAGGGTGGACACAACTGTTTGTTATTCTACAGAAATGCCTTTCTATTAAGATTGTTGAATGCATTTTCAGCATCAACTAAAAGAATAGCTTCAGTGTCATCATCTTCAGAAACTTTCCTCATGGCGTGAATTGCTGACTCAATGTCTGCTTTCAGTCTTGAGCAAGTCTGCAAAGGCCCTACCGCTGTTATTATGTCCTCTTTGATAACCCCTATTACTAGTTTGCCTATTAGGCGTCTTAGAACTTCACCATCACCTATTGGTCTCACTCCAGGTTTACCTTCTTTCGTGTCACCTTTGTCTAGCGGAATTAGCCTGCATGCAATAAATTCAGTCAAACAATCCGGATCACATCTTCAGAGCATAAAACCTTTGCCACGTCAGCAATAGCCTGGCACAGTTCCAATGAGGCATTTCCAAACGATTTTCAGCAGAGAAAGTCTTTCCGTATGTCAGAGTCAATCATCGATGGCCCTCTCGAACAACTAAAATTTCTTGCTGTTTTTTTGCACTGTCTCACCAGTGGTCTCTTCAAATATCACGGATTGAACTTGCGTTGCTGATTTTGGGATTAAAACCTCTGCAGCTTACATCTTGCATTTGGGCGTTACTCCGCCAAAATATTTTTGATCTCATCATTCAGTTGGTGGACACCGTTAATGGAGGCCTCATTGTTAATAAATTTGGTAGCTTGTACCTTCCTGTTGTAGTTCACTACTTTTTCTAACCTGGTGAATGGAGCAACGAGGCGAACAAATTGAATTACTATTGAGGTCATAATTTGCCCCGGCAAAGAGGATAATAAAAAAAGCGATTCGCTTACCGAGGTGGATAAACTGACCTCATGAAGTAAAAGATTGAACACAGCAGAAACGAATATATACAATTCAGTGACAATTCACTAAATCGAAGATGCTTTCTAAAGGTTTTTTTGAAATATGTCTTTGTGTATTTGTCAATAACATTCCAAACTGATTTTGGAGTATGCATTTTATATACAACCTTCCATTCTACAGCTTTTAGTTTGAAAGCAGACGGATAATATATTACTGAGATATATTAATGCTTGTTGTTATTGATTAAAATCTTTGGGAATGGCATTCCTTGCATTATACTCTGTGTTTGTTCGTATTTGAAACTAATTGTAAGAATAAGCAGGTTCCAAATGATAGTCACACATCAAAACCTGAAGATAATAACAAGCTTAAAAAAACATAAATCAGCTTCAAAAATCGTCCATATTGCATTTTACTCCCTTTTGTCTCGTCGTAGATTATTTACTACCGTTCCAACCCCTTGATCTCTCTACATGAGGCCGCATTTCATTTCAATATGGAACCTCTAGTATACTTATTATAACATCCAACTATTCCCCGAAGAGAAGGTGAATAGTGGTGGATGGATACATACCACAACGCGAAGCGTCGTGAAATCTAGCGCTGTTCATCGAGCCTGAGGGGGATAATATTTACCAAATCAGTTGGATAAAAATGAAATAAGGTAACCTTTTTTGTAAATTAAAAAAGTCACTTAGTAGGAAGTTTGTTTACAATTTACAAACACTTCAGCGATTTTTTCAAGTGCGTTTTTACGAGTTTGTTGCAAATTCAGCAAGAAAATAATTTTCTACCTACAAGTAAACACCGACAAGCTGAAGTTCGTCGCTTTCTTGGTATTTGTTTGCACGACTCCTTCATTTTATCGCTCAAATTTCGTTTTCCAAAAATTTCTCGAAACGAGACGCCATCTTGGCTTCGGTCGCAGCCGATCAAAACGCGCGAAATTGCTATTCACTGATGTGATTTTGATTTCATTCGATCGGGCCAACTTTTTCGTCCGTCGTATTACGTTTTTCTTCCTATCTGGCCCAGACGAAAAGTTATGTGTAAATCGTAGCCGTTCATTATGGTTCACGGTCTCTAAAAGAATACTATAAGCTCCATCTGTTTTCTTTTGGGACAGACCTATTAAGCCATTTAACCATTTCGGCTACAAGTATTGAACTGTAGCTTCCTAAATCTACACAAAACAAGAATTGTGCGATAAAATGAGAAATGTGCGATAAACTTTATACACTACAAATTATTAACGCTACGACAACTTACACGGGCTCGAAAAGCTACTAGCCTGTTGATAAAAGAAACGAGAACTCTTTCATATTCTCTCTCTTCTTTCGGCAACGATTTAAAAGAAAATGTAAATAGACGCATCAAACTTCATTCAAGTGGTATTCTGGGCAGGAATCATGGAAAAAGTAACATTCAATGGAATATGTGCAACAAAAACAGTTCAGTTTAATTCCTTAAGAAAGGCGATTAAGGCAGAATGTAATACTAACGCAAAATTCAAAGGGTATGCATTAACCCAAATTAGTATACACACACTCAGTGATCTTGGTAATTCAAGCAATCTGATTGGCTCGCTATCTCGGACTATGACGTTTTAGTAAAATCCAACTAGTGGTCTATTACCAATGCTGCGTTCTGACTGGTTGAGCTACTACTAGGCTATATGTTATAGCCCCCTAGTAGCAAAAAAGGATTAAAGTCTAGCTTTAACTAGCTAAATTTTTTTTATTCTCGATATTTTTGACCAACTAGATGGATGTTACTAAAACAATTATTCCTCTCGCCCTCATGGCCTCTTAGTTAATAGCCCATTCGGCCTTCGGCCTCATGGGCTATTGACTCAGAGCCCATTCGGGCTCGAGGAACAAAATCGCAGAACAAAATCGCTGTCGTGAACTGGGTGTTTTGCCAAAGTTGCATAGCAAAGCCTTTTTGAAAATACACGAATATCCAAGTGCTGATGACTTTGAAGGCAAGAAAAGACTTCATGGTGTTTAACAGCGTGATCTTTTGCGAAGTGGTTTACTGTAGCTGAATTTTTATGGTACGCTCGAAGCTATGTTGACCACTACAGAGCCAAACGAGGCCGCTTTGTCACTGTTTTGTGATTTCGGAATTTTCTCGCCAGACCAACTTTGCCTATATATAAATAGAAATTAATTTATGGAGAAAAGAGGAAGGCAAATATTTTCGAAAATTGTACCTGCCAGCAAGTTAACAAGGCAAAGAACATTAGAGATAATAAACAACGCTCACCTTGATCGTAGCCGCTGTTGACAGCATTTGCAAGAAGCGAATATTAAGTGCACTTCATTTACAGTCGTTTTGCTCAGTAATATGTTTACTCAGTGACTTATATTCGACTTATATATTAAAAGAAACCAGTTGGGTGTCTCAGCCTGCTTTTAAGATGTGGCAAGTCAAGGCCTTCTGATGCAAAACTGACTGAACTGAATCGAAGTGTTTGACTATTTATTAGGGTAGGTGCATCACGGTACCTCAAACAGTTGCGTGTTGATGTAACAACAAGAATTTAAAAATTCTTGTTAGCATAGATACATAGATTTTATCAGTCAACGCTTAACTCTATGAGACTGCCTTGTCAGAATTACTAATTTCTTGTCTTCAATTTGCAACATTTCGTTTTATAATAATGGGCGAGAAAACTTAGAAGCCCTTGATAATTTGTGGGAACTGGAGAAAGGTATGGTATAATAGAAACAGGTGTTGTTACTATTTGACTAAGCGCTGGCCACACGCAAAGTTGATAAATTTATAGTGTTCTTTAAAGATAAATATCAAGACTCGCAAATTTATCTACAGTGTATTATTTTCAAGAGCACCCAACAGCTTTTTTCTGTAACACTTAACTGTTGGAAGGAGTAAATATTGCCTAAAAATTTCTAACGCTCGAGAAAAAAGGCTAAAAAGTTTTGGATAACCTTTCCATTCCTGTAAAATATTTCGGTTATTAACTGTAACTTTCTTACTTTTTTCTGAGGATCTAGTTTCCGCTTCTTATTTCCTCTAGAATTTTCTAATGAAAGAGCGGCTATTCCCTCCATGTCCTCGAACTTTCCACCGGACTCATCACGGTAGCTAACAACAGTTTCGTACGACACGAAAAAGCCATAAATGTTTTTAAGTTAACCATTTAACCATTTTTAAAAGGCACAGTTCTGACTTCTGACATTCGTTCGTTTGGTGTCCTTATGATTTCTGCCAATATAGTAGTTATTTCTTATAAATGAAATTGTGGTTTCGTAAAAAAAAGAAAGATGATAATGTTTGATCTAATTTTCCACTCAGCTGGTGAAACACTTGATGATGTTAGTCTCAGCGATTGTGCCCTGAAATGTTTCAAAATTAAATTAACGTTTTCAATACTCCTGTGGTGCCAGGTGACTATAATTTAAAGATAGTTTACTAACTTAAAACAATGAAGCAATAAATACCGTAACCATAAGGTGAAACATTGCTAGTTAGTAACTAGCAATTATGTATTGCTTAAAGGAATTAAGCTGGTTTCCTCGCCTAATTTTGAAAAAGACATTATCCTTTTCTATCCGTTTGTCTTTCACTTTTACTTGTTAACAAACAGTTTCCACTGTACAGAAGATATTTGAATTTGTAATAATGTAATATTGAACACCGTGAGAAAAAAACAGACATGGCATCCATTTCAAAGCATTTATCAACTCAATGGGTTCTCCACCCTATTTATTGCACTTTAAGAGCATGACAAAATAGCTTGATTTTATTTTGTGTCAACCATGCCCTCTCCAAACTTAAATTCTCTTAGCAGCCGGCTTGTCTACTCTCAGGAAGACATCGTTCACCTCATCAAAGGACCAAACATAGTGCAATCGATGGGGAAGAATATAATAATAGTTATTTAACATTATCTTTGGTTACTTATCCTTTAACCACACTTGTGTCAAAAACGAAAGTAAGAAATGGTTCTGAGTATTGTCAGTACCTTTTGGGTGAATGCTGAAGTTTGATTGTTGGAATGATTTGAGCCTGAAGAGCGTTTAAAAGAACTCAGTGGGTATATGTAACCACCCTCAAAAGAGAATTAACTGGCTTTACCACTTAACACTTAGATTTTGAAACTGTAGGCGACAAATATAGTTGTAGTATTGGTTAATCGCGTTCAATCGGACTAGCTGGTTAGTTAAAAGACGTGATGGAATTGATACAGTCGTTTAGCAAGTATTCTATGAATTAATTGAAGAACTGAACTCGAGACTCGGCACTAATGAAAAGAACCA